CCCCCCCCCCCCCCCCCCCCCCCCCCCCCCCCCCATCACTGTGCCCTCCACCAGTGAGCACTTCCGAATGCAAGCGCCTCCTGGCAGGGCCCCAAACTTAACCCTGTGGGTAGATTCCCTCTAGCCATTAGTCAGAGATAAGGATTTTTTTTTGAATTGGCACTTCACCCAACCCATCCACATTCTTTTAAGTACAGCCCGCCCTCAAAAATAAAAATTAAAAAAATCTTAAGGTGACCCAAACCTGTGACTAACTGTTTCCCGTAACCGCGCGACTTTCTGCGCGAAGCTGCTTTACGGGTTCGGACGGGTTGGTCGGGTGAGGAACATGAGGATGGGTCGGTCGGGCAAGTTGAATGGATGCCCTCGCTTCTTTCTTTTTGGACTTGCGGACCAGGGCCGGGAAAGTCCCGGGTAGGCAGTTAAAGTGGTCACGCCTTGGCGAGCGCGAAAGATAACTGTTGCCATAGCTTCTTTCCTGTTCTGCTGTGGGAACTAGGAATTTTGGCGCGATCACCGCGCGGGAACGTCGTTTTTGAATTTTTGAACATGATGTCGAGCTTCCGCGGGCTCTCGGAATTGTTTTCCCTTCTGAATTTCTTTTTGTAAATTAGGATTTAGATAGGAATTTAGGAACCTTAGAAATTTCTGCTGCATCGTGCTCCTTGCTTGCACACGTCTCGCCACGGTGGGGACTGGGCTCTAACTGTATCGCGCCCTTAATCTTGTGTGTAACTGTAATTTTTGGCGGGCACGATTGTAACTGTACTTCTTCTTCTCGATTCTCTCATGTTTCCCCGCCTTCTCCTTCTCTGTCGTGCATACCTCGTCCTCCATTCTAATTGGCCTAAGCGACTGCATGACCGGATCGATGTGTGGAGTGTGGCTACGTCCCCCACACCGCGGCTACGTCCCCCAATTAGTTTGGTCTCTATGGATTTGGAAGTTAGCGCGGTCAGTGAGGATCGACTAAACAAGGAAGCTTGGAAGGTGAGTAGACGAGAGAGTTGGGCCATCCGACGAGCTGGTGCCCAGTATGTGGGGTTGATGTGGGGTCGCGACGGACTGTGGCAAACGGGCGAACCTGGTTTGCGTACCCAGACTAAGCGGGGTGACAACTCT